GTAATCCCAAGGCTGCAGGGAGGCGAGAGTGGTGATCGGAGCAGACCTGAATGGACATGTTGGTGAAGGAAACAGAGGGGATGAGGAAGTGATGGGTAGGTTTGGTGTCAGAAAGAAACCATGAAGGACAGATGGTGGTAGATTTTGCCAAGATAATGGAAATGGCTGTAGTCAACACTTATTTCCATAAGAGGGACGAAGGTAGAGTGGCCTGGAGGAAGGAGTACACAGGTCAACTACATTCTGTGTAGAAAAGGAAACCTGAGGGAGATTGGAGACTGTAATACCCCTTTTCCATTAGTAACGGTACGTAGAACCAGTCCCTTTTTTCAGGACCCTTTTCGCTGTGGTACCAGCCGGGCCGAGCAGGTACCAAAACGTGACGTCAGAACACTGTCGGTCACTGATTTGTCAGGGGGTGGAGTCACTGGCTGTTTGAGAAACTTTCACAACATTCGATCCACCATTTGCAATTACCGGTGTTCGAACTAGATGAGCGGCTACACCTATTTTAAAAGTTTTTTAAAACAATAATGAAGTGCAGGTGTTTTTTGTGCTTGGTGGCAGACAGCAAAGTTCAGAATGAGCTAGATGAAGCTCTGCTGGTCCACCTGGTCCTCTCCACCAGAGCACCCCCAGGCCGTGCAGGGCGTCATCTCCCCGGCTCCGATCTCCGCCTGTCACTGCGGAAGATTCCCCATGCTGCCGACTCGGGGCTCGGGCTCTGGGCCGGCCTTGCGTGCTCTGCTGGCTTTGAGCTCCACTAGTCATCACGGAGGATAATACGAGATGCTGACTCGCAGAAGGACATTGCCAGACCCCAGCCTTGCGTTCTAATGAAGGCTGAACCCCGATCCCGGCTGACAGGCGGACTGGGACAGATCTGGCACTTGAAGGATGGAAAAGAATTTTTAAAACATTTTATGATAAAAATATAATGTTGGTTTTTTTTAATCAGTGAAAATTTAAAAAAAAATGGTGCTGGCTTTATCATGAAATCCTGTTGTCACTTTAATGACTATTAAATAATCTGTTAAAGTTAACTAAGCTAAAAAAATCATAAAAATACACAAAATTATTGGATCTCTGAGGAATATTTCCCTCAAATATGTTTAAATAAGAGATACAGCCTTTAGTTCAACTTTATTCTATGTTTAATTTGATCATTTTACTAATCTGTACTTTTTTTTTTAATTTACCAGAAACTTCTAAATAAATTCTCACCCTGTACTGAAGCCTGTTTCAGGGTCTTACCACAGCATTACTGCCAGCAGCTGGTAAGGTGCGTGACATGATGTCAATTTGAACCCCGCCCACTGGAACTGGTACTGAAAGCATAATGGAAACACAACGTGTACCGAACCGAGCCGAGTAGAACCGTGCTTTACCGGTACTAAAGGTACTAATGGAAAAGGGGCATTTAAGGTTGTGGCAGGGGAGAGCATGACCAGACAGCATCATATGGTTGTGTGTAGAATGACTGTTGTTGTGAAGAAGAGAAAAAGAGTACAATCAGAGAAGAAGACCAAATGGTGGAAGAAGATGAAGGAAGAATGTTGTGAGAAATTCAGAGAGGAGCTGGTAAAGGCTCTGGGTGTTAAGAACGAGCTTCCAAATGACTGGACTACTACAACAACAGTTATTAGAGAGACAGGTAGGAAGGTACTTGGTGTGTCATCTGGACAGAGAATGGATGATAAGAAAACCTGGTGGTGGAATAGTGAAGTGCAGGACGCCGTTCAAAGAAAAAGGTTAGCCAAGAAGAAATATGACAGTGAGAGGACTGAAGAGAGGAGACAGGAATATGCAATGTAGAGCAAAAAGGGAGGAAGCAAAGGCAAAGCAGAAATGTGTATGATGAGGTGTATGGGAGGCTGGACACTAAAGAGGGTGAGAAGGACTTGTACCAATGGATGAGACAGAGGGATCAGGCTGGAAAGAATGTGCAGCATTCATTCATTCAAGCTTTATTTAGACAGGTAAATCCCATTGAGCCTCGAGGACTCATTTACAAGAGAGACCTGATTACAGCAGGTTTAACTTGTTAAAGATAGGAATGGTAATGTTCTAACAAGTGAGGAGGGTGTGATGGAAGATGAAAGGAGTATTTGAAGAGTATTTTTGTATTGAACGTTTTTTGAATTATTTTGAAGAGCTAATGAATGAAGAGAATGAAAGAGAAAGAAGAGTAGAGGTCAAACCAGGAAGTGAGAAAGATTAGTGAGGGTGAAGTCCAAAAAGCTCTGAAAATATTGAAAAAGAAGGCAGTAAGACCTGATGACATACCAGTGGATGTTTGGAAATGGCTTGGAGAGATGGCAGGGATGTTTTTGATGGCATATTTGAGGGTGAGAAAATGCCTGAGGATTGAAGAATAATTTAAATTCAATTCAATTTAGTTTATTTTTATAGCACCAAGTCACAACAGAAGTCATCTCAGGGCACTGAACATAAACATTCATATATATATAAAAAATAGGTTAACACTATTTAACTGAGAAGAAGTGTGCTGGTACCCATTTTAAAGAACAAAGATGATGTACAGAGTTGTAGCAACTACATTTGATGAGTCACATGATGAAGATCTGGGAGAGAGCGCTGGAAGCTGGACTTAGATGAGAGATGACAATTTGTGAGCAGCAGTATTGTTTCATGCAAAGAAAGAGCACCACAGATGCCATCTTTGCTTTGAGGATGCTGATGGAGAAGTACAGAGAGGGTCAGAAAGAACTCCATTGTGTCTTTGTGGATTTAGAAAAAGCATATGACAGAGTGCTGAGGGAGGTGGTGTGGTATTGCATGAGGAAATCTGATTTGGCAAAGAAGTATGTTAGACTGGTACATGTATGGACATGTATGAGGACAGCAGGACAGTGGTGAGATGTGCTGTAGGAGTGACAGATAGCTTCAAGGTGGAGGTGGGAGTGCATCAAGGATCAGCTCTGAGCCCCTTCTTGTTTGCTCTGGTGATGGATAACTAACAGATGAGGTCAGGCAGGAATCCCCGTGGACTATGATGTTTGCAGATGACATTGTGATCTGTGGTGAGAACAGGGAACAGGTGGAAGAGAACTTGGAGAGGTGGAGGTATGAACTTGAAAGGAGAGGAATGAAAGTCAGCCGTAGTAAGAGAGTACATGTGTGTGAATGAGAGGGAGGCTGGTGGAACAGTGAGGCTAAAAGGAGCAGAGGTCACAAAGGTGCAGGACTTCAAGTACTTGGGGTCCACTGTTTTGGAAAATAAGAGATGTGGCAAAGAGGTGAAAAAGAGAGTCCAGGAAGAATGGAGAAAAGTTTCAGAAATGATTTGTGCTGAAAGGGTGGCAATCGAAGATCAAAGGAAAAGTTTACAAGACAGTTGTGAGACCAGCTATATTGTATGGTCTGGAGACAGAGACATTGACAAAAAGACATGAGACAGAACTGGAAGTGGCAGAAATGAAGATGTTGAGGTTCTCCTTAGGAGTGACAAGGATGGATAAGATTTGGAATGAGATCATCTGAGGTACAGCACAGGTTGAACAACTGGGAGATAAAGTTACAGAGACCAGACTGAGATGGTTTGGACATAGGGCCAGTGGGTATACTGGTAGAAGGATGTTAGAAATGCAGCTGCCAGGAAGAAGACAAAGAGGAGACATGTGGATGCAGTTAGAGAGGACATGGAGGTAATTGTTATGTTATGTTTGTTTATTTGTCATATACAGGTTAACACAAGGTCAACAGTACAATGACATGTTCAGGATGAGAAGAACCAATTTGATTCACCAAAAAAAAAAGAAATAAGACATACTAAAGCATGCAATAAAGGTACAAAATAAAGTACTAAAAAGTAAAAAAGAAACATAATATACACAAGGTCCAAAAGAAATACAGTATAGTAAAAAACAACATGGTAGAATATAACTGTGCAAGTAGGATGAATTAGTATAAATAAGTATTTCACATGTAGTAATATTAGCTTAAATGCACATAATATACTGTATATTCCACATAAGATATACTACAGAGGTTGTGTAAAAGGTTATTGCACAGGTAGTGAGTGACATTGAGAATTAATTATGATGGTAAGATAGTGACATACATGATCCAGCCACATAGTGCAGCAGCAATAAACATATTAGGTGTCACAGATGTGTCTTAGTGCAATATTATTGTCAGTTGTTCAGTATTACTGTATCATCAAGAGTTCAGTAATCTGATAGCTGAGGACCAAGGATGAGATGGAGGAGGATAACTTGCTGAGGCAAAAGTGGCTGAGGGACAAGCCAAAAGAAGAATATATTTATGTAATCCCAGCCCGGGGGCCTTTCTGGGTTTGAGTTTGCATGTTCTCTCCGTGCATGCGTGGGTTTTCTCCAGGTACTCTGGTGTTCTCCCACAGACCAAAAACATGCATGTTAGACTGATTGGTGACTCTAAATTGTCCCTAGGTGAGAGAGAGAGAGAGAGAGAGAGAGAGAGAGAGAGAGAGAGAGAGAGACAGAGACAGAGACAGAGACAGAGAGAGAGAGAGACAGAGACAGAGACAGAGACAGAGACAGAGAGAGAGAGAGAGATAATGGTTGTTTGTCTCATTTGTCTCAAATTCAAGTCAATTTTATTGTCATTTGCATCCCATGTGGTACATGATGTGTAACAACATTATGTACTCAAGATCCCAGTGCACCCCAAAAAATAGCAAAAATATGAATTATAAAAAGAAACAGTATATAAGGATCTAAGATATACACTAAGATATACGTACACTAAACTAAAGCCAAAAAGTACGCTAAAAGATCTAAGATATACACTAAACACTAATAAACAATACGGCGTATCAACAGCAGCCTGAGCAAGTCTCTATGTCTTGTTTGTCTCTATGTGTCCCTGTGATGGACTTGTAACCTGTCCAGGGTGCACCCCGCCTCTCGCACAGTGATGGCTGGACATGGGCACCAGTGACCCCCGCTACCCGAAAAGGAAGAAGCAAGTAAAGATAACGGATGGATGGATATGTTCATTCATTCATTCAACTTTATTTATACAGGCTAGCCTCACTGAGCCACGGGGACTCATTTACAAGAGGGACCTGTTCCAGACAGAACATGTAAAGTACAGACAACAGTAACAATAGACAATGACAACAATAAACTACAGTCAAAATGCAGTTAAAATAAGAGTAGTGTATAAAACAATAAATCAGGGTACCGTAAAACAGGGTGAAATACTAACAACAAAAAAACATGTGCTTTGATTTTTCTAAAAGACAAGTATATACAGTATACTGTATATACACACATACACACACATACACACACATATATATATATATATATATATACACATATATATATATATATATATATATATATATATATATATATATATATATATATATATATGTGTGTGTGTAGAGAGACAGAGAGAGAGAGAGAGAAAGAAGTGGTCGTCTTGGCTCTCTAAGTGGCAACCCAATTTTCATCTGTGCACTTTCTTACACCTAGATGCAGCCACACACCAAAATGGCAATCAGTACCACACTTGTTTATCAAGTTTCATGCTCACAACATGCACGGACTGACAGAGTGTATATTCGATTTCTCCTCTCCGCTCAGTGACAAAGGACAATTAGTTATAAGGTCTGGCATTCCTTGAAGGAATTAAAATTATCTGCTACAGTTGTAAACTGCAAACACCCTACAATGAAGAAGGCTTTGGTCAACTCCTGTACGACTTTGAACTCTGTGTTGAGGATGACTCAATCATTACCAAATCAGATTTTAGCTCAATACATGTAAAATGTACTGAGTTATAGACAATTCATATTTTTGGTAACGTCAGTTAGCTGCAGAAGCCTTTTTGATCAGGGCGTACTCCAAAAGTATATCAGTTATGGTAGTGTTCTGTTCAGTCCGTCTAAGGGTTATGAGATATTCTGCTAGTGTATTTTGTGAAGTCCTCATGTTCTCTCTGTGCCACATGATTTTATCCAGGTTCCTTCCCACAGAACAAAATTCTGCACGTTGCGTTCATTATTACCTCTAAATTGTCCCTAGGTGTGAGTGAGAGTGTGAAAGACTGTCTCATTTATCTCTGTGTGTCCTTGTGATGGACTTGCAACCTGTCCTAGGTATCCCCCGCCTCTCACTCATCTGGACATCAGCTCCTCATGACCAGGAAAGAAAACAGTAATGAAAATGGACCTAACAGTGTTTAGACAAACAGTGCTGTTGCCAACAGTTAATGACAAAAATTTCAGTCAAAATGTTGCACAATGAGTAGTTCTTGGAGTGAATGTATGTGTTGTGAACAACACTCAGCTACTACCATGACAACTTTTAGTTCAGTGCAGTATATATAAAATTATAGTCTTTTTTCTTCTCCTGGGTCAGTTTACCGTGGCCTCTGTCATATCTGTATGTAGATCTGTATTCAGTGGTTCTTTGAGTTCATTTTATTTGGTTATTTTGTCAAAGTTTTCTTTGTGAGTTTCTATTTCTTATGTTTTCTCCCAGGTAGTTTAGGCTCATCCATTTAAGTTTCTGTTTGTAGATCAATCCTTGTTTCAGTGTTTCCAGTTATCAGGTCCATTCTGCCCTCAGTCAGCTCTCAGTGTTATTCCAGTCCTGCCTGTCACTCTCACCTGCCAGTTATCAATCGGTTTCAGGGGGTTCCACCTTCCTCTTTCCCTCAGTTTAATATAAAGCCAGTCTCTTGTCACCAGCAGCTCATTGTGTTGGTTTTACCCTTATGTCTCAGTCCTCCTCATGCTTCATTGTGTTCTCTCACTTGTAAGGTTTTTTTTTCCGCCACGTCGTTTTTTTGTTTTATTTATCCATCCATTATCTTTACCCACTTCTTCCTGTTAGGGTCACGAGGGTCACTGGTGCCCATGTCCAGCAATCACTGTGCGAGAGGTGGGGGACCCCCTGGACAGGTCTCCAATCCATCACAGGGACACATAGAGACAAATGAGACAAACAACCATTCACTCTCTCACTCACACCTAGGGACAATTTAGAGTTACCAATCAGCCTAACATGCATGTTTTTGGTCTGTGGGAGGAAACCAGAGTACCCGGAGAAAACCCACGTATGCACGGAGAGAACATGCAAACTCCACCCAGAAAGGCATTCTCGCTGAGAGGCAACAGCTTTACCAACTGCGCCACCGTGACGCCCTTGTTTTGTTCATAAAATGTTTTGATTTTACTTGAGCTCCCGTGTCTGTCTGCATCTGGGTCCAACCCTGCACTGACCGTGCCTGACACCATCTTGAATCAGCTCAACAGTTACTCAGTTCTACATATGCACCCAATAATTACTTTTTAATTCATAAAAAAGTAACTGATTTAATTGGATTAATTTAAATTTGTCCAGTGGTTAATGAGACATTTCATTACCGTGACCGGCAAATACACAGAGAGAGAGTAAAACGTTATCGCCCTTTCGCTTTCAGCAGCGGGTGATAACAACAGACGTTAATGACGAGGTTTATTTTTGAAGCGCATGAGAGGATTTCCCTGTAAAAACACAAACACAATCTGAAGCAAGAGCCCACACACGTCTGGTGCCAGGAGGGAGCTTTCAGAGCCACAGGAGACTGAGTTACTGCCAAAACACACACTCTGAGAGACAATGACACAAAAACAGGGAGATACACAACCTGAAATCAGAGACAACAAAGAGCTGAACTGAACATAAGACAACCATTGCCCGCCTCCTTTCAGACAGCCTCCTTCTTTAGACTAAGATCATCTTATGATGAGAAATAATGTGGAATGATGAGACGAAGAGAGAGGACACACCTGACATTCACTCATGGGCTCCTCTTCCTTGGTTTCCACCTTCTTGTCCAGGGTTTCACCAGCGAGCAGTGACTCCAACACAGGACCGTCTGGGATCCCCCCCTCTTTCTTTAATGAAGCCTCGTAATCTGAAGGGGGGGGGGGGGGGGGGTCAGATCAGGAAACAGACTTCAGGATTTTGTTAACTTGTACACCTGAGCTGATGATGACTTGGAAAAAACTAACAATTCTGAGCTTCAGCGTGTGGAGGATGAATGTCCAATAATTCTGGAACACTTTGGAGAAAGTGTACGTTCATTTTAAAGATGTTTCAACTTCAGGTGAATCACATGCAGGAGTAGATCATCATTAGAAAAGTACAATATTGAGATGCCATGTTCATTACTTACAATATGTAATATTAGATCATAACCTTGCGTGATCTGTCAGCCAGATTAAATTGTCGTGATGACTTAGCTCAGATTTTAGCTTATGGTCAGTAAAGTTACAGTTTTACTCATTTTTCTTTAGGATAAAGTTGATTAGCTGAGACAGCCATCTTGAATAAACTCCAAAAGTTACTAATTTGTTAATGTACAACCAATGTACACGCCCGTCTCAGCAGTGATGACCCAGAATCTGGGCCAGTGGTCGGGGACTTCACTGAACGGTGTGAGTTTTAAAGTTAAATGTTTCTGTGACAAAAGAGATGGTCATTGATTTAAGAAAAGACTCTTCAGCTGCAGCTCCTGTGGTCATTAACAGTGAAGCTGTTGAGGTGGTGCATAAATATAAATATCTGGAAACTGTTCTTGATGACAAACTGACCTTTGACCCCTATGTGAACTCACTTTGTAAGAAGGTCCACCAGAAGATGTATTTTTATTGGAAGTTCTGTGTTTTTAATGTTGATTCGACTTTTATGAGAATGTTTTATTGAGTCTCTTTAACTTTCACCTTCATCTGTTGGTTTGGATTGTTAACATGTAAGAACAGGAACAAACTCTCAGGGACTGTCAGGATGTGCAGCAAAACTGCTGGTACAGCTCTACAGAACCTCACTGACCTACACAAGGTGAGGTCAGTGAACAAGGTCAGGCTGATTCTGGCAGATCCTGATCACCACTCCATGGTGAGTTCAGGTTGCTTCCATCTGGACCCAGGAACCTGCTGCCCAGATGTAGAATGAACAGACTGAAAAACTAATTCATGCCTGCAGTGATCAGGCTTCTCAATGAACAATGATGATTTCATGTACTGTTATTTTAATGTCTCCTTGTCTTGTCTAATATGGACGTTTTGTTTGCCTACTGACTGAAACAAGTTGCACCTTGGGGATAATAAAGATCCTTGAACTTGAATTTGAATGTTCACTTTCTTTCTCATTGATTCATGAGATATTTTGCTAACAGACAGAGTAGATTCCAGCTGTTAATGGTAAAGTTTTAAACAAAGATGGAGCGTGACAAGTTTGTGCTCGGAGTATGTGTTTGGGATGACGCTCAGCTACAAATTCATCAAATTTTTGCTCGGTATTTGTAAAATTGACTACTTGTAAAGTCTATCAGATCATAGTGGAATTTTCTTCAGCTGAGAGAGGAACTCATGCTTTTAAAGACAGAAAAAATATGGTATTTATTTATTGATTTATTCATTCATTTATTTATCCCATTGATATCACATATCTCATTTGCAAAGGTGGCTTGGGCCTGCAGGCAGTCTAAACATGGATTTCTTGGACTAGTAAACTAATTTAAACAAAAAACTTTAAATGTTTTAGCTCAGCAATAATGCACAACCTCAAACATCCATCCTATAAGTTCTTCACAACAGCCCTGACTTCTGTTTGTTTAACACGTTTCCTAAGAAGTGTAGAACTTATGTCTGCAGCACAACTCTGGTCGTTGTTAGAAGTGGTTCGGGTCAATAGCGAGTGTGACCACAGAGACCACGAATCAATACGGCAGCAAACCCCCCCCAGAGAAGTTTGTGTCTTCATACACACATGTGGGGCTTTGTATCCATTTTTGCAGAAACAAAGGAGGAAGTGGAGCCAGGTGATCTTAATCTACACAAATTGTCAGCTAAACACGACTTCACATGATTTATTTAGTCAAATGTGTAATTGCTACATTCAGTCTTGTGTTTACCAATCTTGAACTCAATCGGTAGAAGCCGTGGGTCCTCCAAGATGTTTAGCCGCCTCTTCTTGCGCCAGCAGCGAGCAGGATATGTGTACAGCTGACCAGGAGCGTGACCTGAAACACAAAACGTGATTATTCCAGTCTGCTTCAGCCAGCCAGAGGTTGATACTTTGGCTGTTTTATGAAATTATGAACACGACTGTGAAAACTGGTCACTATGAGAAAACCAAAACTTGTAAATATATTGAAAACATGAAGTAAAAGTAAGGAGCTGTCAAAGCCGAAGTTTCTGGTGGCAGATAGCAGCCAGAATACAAACACGAGCACACAGGGTGAGCTCTCTTTGGAGGAGATGGAGCCAGCGGCGTATTGTTGCCTTCAGGGGCGTCTGACTCACTGCCAAAACACACCGACGTTACAGAAGAAGAGAAAGCACACCCTTTGGGGAAAGTTAAAAAACGTGAGGGTGTGAAGGATAAGGCTGGGGGGATGGGGGGGAGACAAAGGACTGGGGAGAAGAGGTTTTGTAGCTCAACATCTGGTGAGCACAACACACACACACCTGGACCACGGTGGTTCTTTTCCATCCAGATGTAACAGTTGCTCTGGGCCACGCCGGTCTGGGAGTCCAGGAAGGGGAGTCTCATGGAGCGCTCTGCACAAAGACGGGCGTTGTAGCTGCGACAGTGTTCGATGGCCTCCTTGTAAAACTCCTCACCAAGACTGAGAGCCAACAAACACAATTAGTACATGTTTTATTTAAATGTGAAATCAAAACCAACAAGGACAAATGGACTTAACCTGCTCTAAAGGAGCAGATTTTTTATATCCTACACCTGCTCTGCTATTCAGCAATGAAAGGCTGAACCCTCCTGCTGCTTCCTTGACCCAAGAGCAGCAGGAGGATTGAGTTTTATGGTGATGTAATACATATTTACATACTCGTGCTCTTACACATTAACATTCCTAAGAACTTTTATGCACACAGACATATTTAAATGCACACGTCTACATTCACAAACCCATGTACACAAAATATTTACATAAACATACAGTGGCTTGAAAAAGTACTGTTACAAACTTCAAAGTATTTTACTGACATTTTATGTGATAGACCAACACAAAGTAGCACAAAACTGAAGAGTAAGGAAAATGATGATTCAGGGTTTATAGTTTTTATGTTTTTTTTATATATATATATAAAGTTTGGTGTACATTTTTGCACATACAGACTTAATGTGTTTGCCCATTCTTCTTTGTAAACCAGCTGCAGCTCAGCCAGACTGCATGGAGAGCCTCCATGAACAGCAGTTTGAAGTCTTGCCACAGATCCTCAGCTGGATTTAGGTCTGGACTTTGGACTATTCCAGACCATCCGGATGTTTGGATGGAAACTGTTCCACTGTGGGTCTGTCTGGGTGTTTCAGGTTGTTGTCCTGCTGGAAGGTCGTCTTTTTCATTTACTCATCAACTCTGACCAGCTTCCATGTCTCTGCTGAAGAAAAGCACCCCCACAGCATGATGCTGCCACCACCATGTTTCACAGAGGGTGGAGTAGTGTAAGTTTTATCTGAGCAGAGCTTCTTTGTCCACAGGTTAGCTGTGTCCACTATAAGACGTGTCAAACTGCAAACTGGATTTTTATGACTTTCAACTAAAGCTGTCTTCTTGTCCCTCTTCCATGAAGGACAGATCGGTGGGGGCATGACTAACAGTTGTCCTGTGGACAGACTGTCCCACCTGAGCTGTGGATCTACAGCTCCTCCAGAGTGACCATGGAGCCTCTCCGCCCGGCCCTCAGATTAGATAGATCTAGGTCAGTTCACAGCTGGACCGTAGTCTTTCACTGAACAACGATGGACTGAAATGTGCTCCATGAGACGTTCAAAGCTGCTAACCCTGCTTTAAACTTCTCAACAACTTTATCCCTGACCTGTCTGGTGTAATCCTTGGTCTTCATGATGCTGTTTGATCACTAATAAATAATAATGAAATCCCAGTAAAATACATTGAAGATTGTGGCTGTAACGTAATGTGAAAAATTGTCAATGATATGAATACTTTGTCATTGCTCTGTATATACTGTACATGAAATATACATACATGAAATATACATACATGAAATATACATACATGAAATATACATACATGAAATATACATACATGAAATATACATACAGCCTCTGAGATTTTAATGCCCCATCAAACTCATTTTTTGCTCATTAAAATAAAAGTTTTGTACCAACTTTTGAACTGGATCATGCTTGGACGTTGCTTTAGCTGATGTCTCAATATATTTCATTATTTGCTGCATTGGTTTTTTAGTGTTGTTCAGACAAAAACGTATCTTCAACTTTATTCATCTCCATTTTCTTCACCCACTAGGTTTGGAGGAAGCTGGTGTCCATGCCCATCAGTCAGTGGGTGAGAGGAGGGAGACACCCTGGACAGACTGAGTCCATCAAAGGGCCACATAGAGATGAGCAAGACGCTCAACCTAACACCGAGAGACAATTTAGAGTTGCCAACAACATAACACAGACACATTTATGGTCTGTAGGAAAAATCCAGAGAAAATCTGCATATGGAAAGTGAGAACATGCAAACTCCACAGACAGACTCCATCCTGGAGATGAACCTGTGACCTTCTTGTAACAGAGCTCCTCCACAATGCAGCTCAAAGTTCAACTCTCCCCTCAATTAAAATCCTTCATTGCCAGGAAAAACTGTTTTGCTTAATGCCAGGGAGAAGGTTATTTATTGCTTTCAACTGTGCTGTCCAAAAAAAGGAGATCAGTAAATTTTAATATTCTTGAATTTGAAAATACTGATATCATCTCTTTATTCACCCTTGTGCATTTCTTTCAGTCATATTGCTATTAAAGCTGTTGTATATTTATAAGTATTGGTCCTAACCTCTGCACAATTATTCCGTCATGGTAGAACCAAAGCACAGTAAACATCTGGACTACTGTACTTCTTACAATAATACTGTTTTATGTTTTAATACGAGGTCACATACATATACACCAAGAAGACTACTTTCATTCATTATTGTAATCCTCATTCCTTCTACACGTAATTGCTTATGAAAAACTGTGAACTTAGTTTCATTTAAATTATGTGATTTTTTAAAAATTCAATTCTATTTAGTTTCAATTCTGTTTATGTATTTATGTTCATATACATTCATATGTAAAAATAATAAATTAACTTTTTTTTTAATCTGAGGAGCACACTGCTTTGAATTTAACTCCATCGCAGAACCCTCATCTTCAGCAAGCATGAAGGCGACAGTGGAAAGGAAAAAACTCCCTCATAAGGAAGAAACCTTTAGCAGAACCAGGCTCAGAAGTTTTTTTTTTAAACTACTTTTTTTATTTTGCATATTTCCAAAGGCTTGTTGTTACTCCTCTAAACGTTCACAAAAGAATTTGTCTTTAGTAAACATTGCAATTTTAATTTATTTGTGAAAACCTTCACATTAATTATTAAGAGAATGAACTTTTTTGGACCCAATACAGAGCCTTGAGGGACACCACAAGCAATGTCCAAGAATGATGAAGAAGTTTACTGTCCCAGTTTCAAAAACTTTTTTCAATTTAAGTAGCTCCTCATCCAATGCAAAAAATAGCTCCATGGTGCGACATTTAAGGTATCTCACTGAACTGTGACTGCTGGAGGCCAGGTGGTGACTCAAAATGATGAGCAAATCGCAAAAAAATAAATTAATTTCCACTGCAGACTCACAGAACTCTGAGTGCTTGTGACCAAGCATCCAGCCAGCCATGTGGCCATATTATGAGTGGTCAATTTTTTAAATTAAAGGTTTATTTTAATGTTTAAAGGATTATTTTAAGACATTTTATTTTTTTTATTTTAACCCCCTCAAATGATTTGAGACTTTTAAAGACTTCCTCTTGAATGTCGTTTGCCAACAGTCGCCAGCAGTTTCCGTCCAATGAATTACTACCATTAACGAAGATGGGAGGAGGATGAGGGCTGGGGGGTCAAAGGTCAAGGCAAAAAGAGCAAAGAAGTGTCCGAGTTTCAAGCTGACTTTCAGGATTTTTTGGAGGGTATGTTTTTCTGTATGTGTGCATGCGTGTGTGTGTGCGTGTGTGTGTGTGTGTGTGTGTGTGTGTGTGAATTTGTGTGTGTGTGTGTGTGTGTATGTGTGTGTGCAGGTGAGAGAGCGAAAGAGAGAGCTTCATGTTACAGGAGGGCATGTGTGTAAGTCAAAAAGGACAATGGGTGTTCAGTCATGTACAGTTACACTGAGGGGGTAGGGTGTGTGTATGTGTGTATGTGTGCGTGCGTGCGTGCGTGCGTGTGTGTGTGACAAGCTGGCAGGAACACTCCCGAACTCTTCAGCACATTTCCTCACTGCAGGCACCATGCATGCACTGTATTTTCTCACCAGCACAAGTGAGAGTTTGATTAACATTCAGTGTAATATTCTGCCTTTTGTGCCCCCCCCCCTTCCTTCCCCATGCCCCATTCATCTCCCCCACCTACCTGTTCTTGATGACTGCACCTCCAGATTGCCTGCAGGGGGAAGAAGAAGAAACCAACAGATGTGTGGTGAGTCACTTCTTCACCCCACCCAGTTTTCTCCAGTTAATTTGATTTCGTTTTCTTTTCCAACACGTCTCCATCACTTTTGTTACTGGAGTGTCTCTTTCCTTGTTTAACTTTCACACCCTCCCTTCGCTCAGCTGCCTTTTATATATATATATATATTTGTTTATTTCATTATTCATCTCACTTCTCGTCTTTCTTTTCTCTCTCCTGTTAATCACTCCTCTCTTGTGTCTTCCTGCTGAGTGCAGACATCAAGGTCACTCGCCTATACAGACTGTAGATACAGGACACACAAAACCACACACACGCACACATCACACGTACACACATTGTGGTACAGTGAAGAGCCAAAAGCAGCCTTGCAAACACAATGCAGTGAAGCTGCTAGTTGCAGTGTTTTTTGTCTGTGCAGTCACAAAGAACAAAACTGACGGACTGACGCAGAAGCTCAGGGTGGATTTAAAGTAGCTGCAAAGAATTAGCAGCTTTCTAATGTTACATGTTTGCATGGAGTACTTGAGCACAGCTGAAAGTTAGCCACCAGAAAATATCTTTCATTTTGCAAGTTCAGTATGAACACTTTAGCTACACTTTAAGGATGAGGCAGGAAATGATGGTTCCCCTGAGTCTGAAGAAATTAAAGGCCTAGGATTACATGAAGTGATGCATCTCGCCCGCCTATCATGCCTGAGTTTTAGCTTGTGTTGCAAAGGAACAGAGTTGTAGCCATTTTGTTCAAACTTTGTTATTAGCTTTTTGTGAAATGACAAGATCTTGCAAAGTGCGTTATAATGCCCAGAGCATTACTTAATAGCCTTTATTTAAGCAGACAAAATCCGACTGAGATCACAGTCAAGCATGAGGAGAGCATGCAAAGTCCACACAGAAAGACCACAGGTCCAAGCAGGGGATTGAACCCAGGACCTGTTTGCTGTGAGGTAATAGTGCTAACCACTAAGCCGCCGTGCTGCCCAGAGTATGCGTTGAGGATGTCTCAGCCTCCTACCTCACCAAACGTTACGTCTAAAATCTGTAAATCTGACACAGTTCTAGCCGTTTGTGTGTTTCCTAAAGTTGATTAGCTGAGGTGAACATCATGAGTTATAACGATGCCAAATATGAATCAATTGTATATGTTCATGCTGACAGTGTCTGAAATCTAACAAGTCGTTCATGAGATATTTTGCTAACAAACAGACAACACTGACCCAACAGGTAATGGCAAAATTTGATCTTCAGGTATTTCTTTGGCAACTGGAAATTTAATGACAATTAATGACACCACATCTTTTCATCTTACGGAGTTCAGTAAAAAAAAAAAAATTTGAAGAAGCACAGTAATACCAATTTATATGCGTACTTTAGCTATTTATGCTCATTATATATAATTTTATTTATCCCAATTCAAAATGTTCTATTCATAACTGTGTTCATTTTCTTTTCTTTTTTTCATGTACTCTTTATTTATCCAGGTAGTCTCATTGAGCCACGAGAACTCATTTTCAAGAGAGACCTGTTTAGGGAGCAGATGGTGGGGGTTGAGGGCCTTTCTCAGGGGCCCAGAGTGGGGCAGATGAGGGTGGAGGCAGATGTGGATGTTCCACCTTTTCCACCCACATTTTGATATTGACGGTACTGGGAAGTGAACCTGCGACTTTCCAATCACAAGCCCATCTTCTAAATAACTATAACTCTAAATAACTCTAAATAACTGTAAATAACCATGTTATTTTTTTCCTAAACGTGTTTTCCCATTGTGTATGTTCAGCACTTTGGAACGACAAAGAGCTGTTTGTAAATGTGCTAAACAGATAAATTTGACCTTTGAAGCTAAATGGGAAATTTGATGCTTTTCATAAATCTTTTCAAACGTGTTATTCTACAAATGTATGAAATGAAAGTTATTTTTCAAACATGATCAAAAATGATTACAACCGACAGGTGCATGCAACAGCAAAGACATGCAATTCTTTCTAATCAAACTCATAATGTGTTGTTTTATATTCTGTCAGGTAAATTCACTTTTAGCAGTTTAGGCTTCATTGGACTTTTTGTGCTGCCACAGAAGAACTGATTGTCGACAGAATTACACAAAACCTACAGAGGAAATGCATTTTTGCTCTAAAAGTTATCAGTTCCATATAAAACTGTGTGGATACGCACTCACTCAGGGACTCATTCTTTGTACGTTCTCATCACCGCTCAGGGTTGGTGCCGTCCAACCAGTCAACCAGTGAGAGACAGCGTACAACCTGGACAGGTGGTCAGTCCCTCAGACACACAGCCTTTAATCAGCCTAACATGAATGTTTTCAGTCTGTGGGAGGAAACTGGAGTACCCAACATGCACTGAGAGCACACAGAAACTCCATACAGGAAACAGGGGACGTTGGAGCCCAGGACCTTCTTGCTCTATGAGGTGATGGTGTTAACCACCTGCACCACCGTGCAGCTCACAGCTTGGAGCACACAGACAAGACTAAAGACTCAGGAGATACGACACAGACAAGTTTCTCCAACTTAGCGGACCTGTTATCTGTAGCTCGCCTACAGGTGGGTGTTATGTAATCATGTGGCTTCTGAACATAAAGGTTGGGGCTTTAAAGCAAAGAGGTGAATATGTAAACACACACCTCTTCTTCACTTTTAGAGAATTTAAAAATTGTTTTACAGGAGGGCAGCACGGTGGCTCAGTTGGTAGAGCTGCTGCCTCTCACTGAGAAGGTCGCCGGGTCAAATCCCGGCCCGGGACTTTTCTAGGTGGAGTTTGCATGTTCTCTCCTGCATGCGTGGGTTTTCTCCAGGTACTCCAGTTTCCTCCCACAGACCAAAAACATGCATGATTGGCGACTCTAAATTGTCTCTAGGTGTGAGTGAGAGAGTGAATGGTTGTCTTGTTTGTCTCTATGTGTCCCTGTGATGGACTGGGGACATGTCCAGGGTGTCCCGCGCCTCTCGTAGAGTGACTGCTGGACATGGCCCCAAAACAAAGAAGTGGGTAAAGATTATGGATTTTACAGGAGTCAATTTAACTCAATTAATTTGTAGAATTATTACATCAAATCTAATATAAAACCAATTCAGAAAGATGAGTTCCTGTTTGTTTTGTTTTATTTTATGCAGTCAAAATTTTAATTACCGGTAGTCCCATTTAGGGTGGTGGTGGTGGGGGGGGGGGGTCAAGTTCTCTGATTTAATTGTTAGCCCCAACAGTTTTCATGAGACACAACCTGGATAACTACAGTACATGCACAAGGAAACCACAATTAAATATTAAGCAACATACTGTATACTCTGTCCTTTTTCACAGAAAATTTAAGACAAATTGTCAAATTTAGTGTTCTTAGCGATTCAGGAAATGTCTGTCCCGTTAATAATTTTCTCCGTCAGCTGGACCTGGAAATTTGACCTGCAGAAGCAAAGACCTTCCAACCATCCAAGTGGCTGCAAGTCTGCTACCTGTGGAGCAACAGACGGCAGGGAAACGTGCAGTCATTCTATTACCAGATGAAACCTACACACTGACATGACCCTTACTGGATGATTGTTGTTTTCAGTCATTTCAGATTTTTATATATTTGTAAACTCTTGATGCTGGTCAGTTAGCTGCACTCCACTAACAGAACCTGATTCAGCTAGTTACCTTCAGCACATTCAGCCAGCATGTTGGCTCATGCTACATCATGAGTTCATTTAATATTATAATTCTGCCTTCAAGTTACAAAGCTGCTGTTAGGGGGATCTGTGGTTTATTTTCAGATTTTACAGCATGTCTGCTCCTATCAGACGTATATTGAAGTAGGAGGTCAAAAGTCCATAATTTACTTACAAGAAACTTCGTTTTTAATCATTTTTGCGTTATTGTTCTGTAAAAGTACATTGTAACCCTTAATTATTTGCAAGATTATGTTTAATCTCAAATGAAATGCAATGTTTCCCATTGTTACAATGTTTTTATTGGGGAAGAAAACTTGTTAAATTTTTTTAAATTATGTCATCTGGACTTTGTTTTTTTTGTTAAAAAGAAACGTTTCGCCCCTCATCCAAGAGGCTTCGTCAGTCTGAGGCCTAGCCATCTGGTATTACCCAGAAGCCACCCTGACTCTTGTGTTTCAAGCCTCAAGGCTTCTGGGTAATACCAGATGGCTAGGCCTCAGACTGACGAAGCCTCTTGGATGAGGGGCGAAACGTTTCTTTTTAACAAAAAAAACAAAGTCCAGATGACATGATTCAACCTTTTTTGTTGTAATATACCTGGATGACTGAGAAAACAAACTTTGTGTTTTTTAAATTATGTTAAAAATGTAATACTGACAGTTTTTCTAGAGGACAACTAATGTTGCTGAAAAACAATGTTCAGTTAAGAGTTGTTTTATGTCATTTGTTTAATTTATAGAGGACAAATAACCTGAATGCACGAATTTAGGTCCAAAAGTAAAATTTCTTGCAACAGTAAAATTTGCAATCCAAAGAAAAAATCTCTGAATTCTGGTGTTGGCTTTGAGCTGTTCGGTCCTCTTCTCCTCTGATTTTTACTTTTTTCTTTCGGATGTTTTTGTTCCAGACTTCCATCCATTCATCCATCCATAATATTTACCCATCCATCCATCTATCCGTTATCTTTTACCCACTTCTTCCTTTTTGGATCACCGGGGTCACTGGTGCCCATATCCAGCTATCACTGTACAAGAGGCGGGGGACACCCAGGACAGGTCTCCAGTCCATCACAGGGACACATAGAGACAAACGAGACAAACAACCATTCACTCTCTCACTCACACCTAGAGACAATTTAGAGTCACCAATCAGCCTAACATGCATGTTTTTGGTCTGTGGGAGAAAACCCACACATGCACAGAGAGAACATGTAAACTCCACCCAGAAAGGCCCCCGGACTGGGATTTGATCTGGCGACCTTTTTGCTGAGAGGTGGCAACTCTACCAACTGAGCCACCGTGCTGCCCT